CACGTTGGGATAAATTACATCCCAGACGCTACTTTCTCAGGAGTAGCACTACTTTCTACTTCCTGCATGTATGGTAATTATTGCAAATTTATTTGTGGTTAATATGATCCATTTGGTACTTTGAAACTCGCAATTATTTCGTTTATTCCATTGCAGCCTCATCTTCCTCTTCCTGATGTTTGACGGGAAGATAGCAAGAAGAAACTGAAAATCATATTACCGTAATGTGGGTTATTACTGTGGTTTCTAATGCAGTTTACTGCGCCTCTTACAAAATATGTAACTGGAGAGTAATAAGAACTTGTACGCGTGTCTCGTTTTCTCCAAGCCACAAAGAAAGAATGTCCAAGAATTGCATTCAAAATCTGATGTTAACGACGCGGACTGTACAGAGTATCTTGGATATAAATGGATTTTACTTAATGTTCTTTATGTGAATGATTGCAAATCTAGGAACGCGGAGGTAGGCCTACTGCAGATAGTCTAATTCCATGATCGTCTCATTGTTACAGGAAGAATTTCGTTAACTTCCTTCGCCCTTTTTCTTCTGAAATGAAGTATTAATAATATGTGGCGAATGGAAGAGAAACCGTAGGCACAATAAAGAAAGTTTCGACTGATGAGATAGAATATAAAGAATTTCTATCCATGTTTCTGCTTGCAAGAATAATTGGACTCAAGAAAAATAAAACAGATTGAAAACATCTGCTCTACAAATATTCTAAAATAGGGCTCATAGCTAAATTTACCAACCAGTAATCTGCCTGCTTGCCTCCAGTAGCCAGTCCAAAACATTTGTTCGGTGTAAATAAATAAAGTTACCGCTCGTCCTAGCACCAGCAGTTGATACAGGTCGAAGAACGGAAGAACGGAACTTCTCAGCACGAAGATCGTTGCCCCATAAATAGTGTACGTTTTGTGATGAACGAAACTACATCCTTCCTGTGTAGTCAATTGTATGTTATAACATCATAAGTAGGCTGCTGCAGAAATTGTACGTCCCGGTAAAGGTGAAAATAATCAGGCCGTTTCTCAATGCGATGTTCTTACTTACAATCCTTTAATGTACAGAAAAATAAAGAAACAATAAATATAACTTCCTGTGGAATAATGTTTATTGTCTGATATACCAAGCGTGGTATAAATACATACACAAATGAAACAAATCTCTGCTTCCGCTTTAAGAGTTCTTGACCGCATTCTCACATCTTCGTCGTCCGTTTCGCAAATGCTTCTTTTTCATGTTATATAACGGACTTTGTGGGCATGACCAGGAGTATGAGAAATATAGAACAAAACATTACCATTCTAAGGCAAAGGGAGGAAATAACAGTCATCATTTCGATGTAACGTGTACAGCAAAAGTGATTCAGACATTTTATTGTCTGTCTTGCCTATTTACTGGCCACATTTCAGCTGCATTTTTCTGACCTACTTAGGGAATTCCGCAATAAACGTAGATCGAGACAGTGTGTTGAATGATGTTGTTGTTATTCTGAGTTTTGGCGCCATGTGGACTAGTAGGTAGATGCCAGAGTTTCGGAAAAATGTTGGCATCTACCTTCGCGAACCCAGATTATCATCATCACCATCATCATTCTCACTGCTCTAAAATCATCAAATCTCACATAGCTTGGTGAACGTTACGTGCTGTTTGAATTGGAATAAATGTTCCTACAATTCTCAGCGGGTGTACTGTGGCAAATTTAACTTTTATTAAATTGTTTAAAGTAAAACGGACGTACGAGGTGCGATCGGAAAGTTTCACGACTGTGTCAATAGAGGGCGAACCGGATGTAGTACGAGCTTCTGCCTTTAGGGGGTGCGGCCTACATTCATAGTGAATCAGTGTGCCAGCCGGCATCATCGAATTAGCATTTGTTTTGGTAGTGCATTACACCAACCCTCCTGCGATTTCGGAATGGCGTGTGCATCAAATTTTGCCAAAGACTCGCCAAAACGGCTACGGAAACCGATGAAATGCTAAAGCAAGCATTTGGGGAATCCGCAATGGGTCGTGCACAAACTTTTGTGTGGCGTTCACGTTTTAAAAATGGCCGAACCTCTGTCGATGATGACGAGCGTTCTGGACGACCATCTTCGAGCACAACGCCCGAAAATGTTACGAAGATTCGGCAGGCCATTCACGAAGATCGACTTCGTACCATCAACGACTTGTGCGACATTGTTGGGATAGGCTATGGGGCCTGTCAGCTGATTCTAAAGGAAGAACTCCACATGCGACGCATCGCAGCCAAGTTTGTGCCAAGGCTCCTGTCTGAGGACCAGCAGCAGAATCGACTTCTCGTTTGTCAGGAGCTCAAAGATCTTGCCGGATTTAGCTCCGTGTGACTTCTTCCTCTTCCCAAAGATGACAATTCAGCTAAAGGGAAGGAGATTTGAGACGATAGAAGAGATTCAGGCAGAATCGCAGATGGTGCTTGACAGGCTGACAAAGAAAGATTTCCAGGGATGCTTCCAGGCTTGGCAGCGGCGCTGGGATCGTTGTGTTCACTCCCAGGGGAACTAATTCGAGGGTGATGGATGAATTTAATACCTGAGATAAGTGTACGGGTTTTTATACGCGCAGTCTTGAAACCTTTCGATCGCACCTCGTACAATAGCGCGAGTAGACGTGAAGGTGAAGACTTCGCAAGTTTCATCCATCTACAAGTCTCCTTTTAGAGATTGTTCATGTGCTAGTATGTTATTACTTTTACTTTTGTTTCGCATTGCATATTATACATTAGAATTCTTTTTCTGGCAAACTTCGGCCTGAACTGACAATGGAGATTACCATGGGATTATTTCGGGAGACGGGACATACAGTCTCAATGCTGGGATTCGCATTCTAACAAGTACAGCGTCTTTTTCCGACAGTGGATGACACCCCCCCCCACAAAGAAGCAGTTCCTGAAAGGGTATTAACTTTCTGTGTCTGTGTGTTAAACACCATAGTCTGGCGGTGATTCATGTTAAATCCTTTCGTCCTACATGACGTCCGAGTAAGAGTTTTGTCATGTTTGTCTTCTGGGTTTTAATGTCGAGTGGACGTGTCATGTAGAAAGATGTCGACGTCTTGGATTAAAGATGGGGGCAGTATGCTCCTCCGATATGGAATATGCTTTCTCGTGGTCGAGAAAGCATCGGATTTTATACTTTAATGAAACTGAACTAATGGCTCCTAGTGATTGCGGGTTGCTGTATGCATTAAGAAGCTGTGAAAGCGTTATGTGTGTTTCGGTTCATAAGGATTTGTTTGGATTATAGACTCCGACCGAATGTCATGATAGTACTCCTACTTCGTAATCCGAATGCCTCGGGCTTTAATGTCAGCGTAAGGACCGGGTGTTCCGATTCAGGTTCCTCGTAATTTTGGTAGTCCCTCGAGGCAAATTCCGAAAAAGTAACATTAGGTGCAGATCACATCCTTCCACGTCCTTCGTAATTCATCATTTACAAAAATCCCCTCGTTCAGTGTTACACATAACTTGGCGCTAAATCTGGTTACTTCCGGGATCAGATATTGCATCATATCGAAATCACTGCATTATAAAATGGAAGTAGTAATGATTACAAAAACCTCAACGTCTTCAACATGACCAAACAAGCAGAAATAAATATGATCCCTATGTTGAAGTGACACCTGCCATTTACAATGGCGACATTGCCAGAATAAATTACATTCATGCACGGTCGCATACTAGTTTTGAAATCATGTGAAAGATTCGCTTTCTTTCTGAGGAACACGTATAAAAAACTAATCTTACGTAATTCTTCAAAGTGATGTTTCGCAACTGTGAAGATGGCATGGGAGTACAAATTATGCTGATGTGGCGAGTATAGATAGAACTAGTTTGTATTGCTTCAGCAAGTTCCCAGGCTAATTGCAGTAAAAGTTAACTACGATTCAATAAAGATGCTACTGCATGTTAGAAGCATTCTATCTCGATGCCTGACAGCTTTCATTCTTCTGATTTGTTTCTTTTGGTGAGCCGGAAAACAGGTATTGGACTTACGAAATACGAAAGTAGAAATATAAAACTCAGAAAATAAGAGAAAGGTTTCGATTTAATGTTACTATGTCGTATTTGAATAGATTTACTGATTGTCCCCGTCCGAATGTTCCGTCACTACACTCAGTACAAGAATCTTCCAGAAACGTATTTCAGAATAAATTAGTGATTCATCGAGCTTGCTGTGTCAGCCAACACAAATTTATTTATAACTCAATAAAATAAAGTATTTGGCCGCCGAGAGTACGTAGACCAGTAGGACTAAGTCGTACCTATCGGAGTTGCGGAGAACCTCTTTCAGGCAGCATTGACCCTCTCTGGGGAGCAGTACCCTTCTTGAGAAGCTCGTAGTCGTTCCTAGCAAACCCAAAGCTCATTACCGTTTTACAAGGACCCACAATTTTGGAATAACACGGTTAGTGTGTCAGTCAAATTGTATGCTTCACCAACTTAAACATTTAATGGTTTTCCTCATTCTGCCCAAGCAAATGCCAGGTTAATAGTAGGCCTGCTTTCAAGGAGGTAACAACAGCCTACTTCCAAATTTGTACATACCAGCTGACTGTTGTATTCGACGCTGTGTTACCTCTTAAAGCATCGCCGGCAAGTAACAATTTATCAGTTAATAGAGTGTCGGTGTGAAGATTTTCGTCAAATAGGTTGTGAGAATGTGAATCTGATCTTTGTCTACTGATGAAATAAATCTTGCAATACTCTGTTTTCCTGTGTTGTCAGGCAAACTTGTCTTAAAATTTAACGTGTCCTGGGACGACGATATTGGACTATCATCTTTGATCATGGGGCTAGTTTATTCTGACTAAAGTTTTCTTTTCATAATTCATAACGTAAATTTATTACCTTTTCTCCTATGCTGTTTGAAAATATTTAATATCTTAATAACACATTCTATACATTTTTAAACAAGAATGTTCACAAAATCCTAGATTAATTTCTTTGTACACAGATTTCAATATGCATGTCAATTTAAACAGAATTCCGTCGTTAAATAATGTATTGGACTGTTGTGTGTAGCGTTTTGAAAAACAAGAAATGAAACTTCTTCGTTTCGTGGTTCAGTGGTATTCCATACACTGAAAAACAGCAGAATCATCAGATAAAATGTTTCGTTATTCAGCTAGCCAATTCAGCAAAGTTTTTGCCTCTGGAATATGTAAATTTATTCATTATGTTCTGGTAAATATTCGCAGTTTTTACAAGTGTATCGATGTGTCGTATCTTAATCAAAATCTGTTCAGTACTGTAATAGATTATTTGGGATCGGACAAAAACAACCTTTCCATTATGCTTTCGTGTGATACGCTTTATTAAAAGAAGAGCACGGAATCCGTTACGAGTACATGATGGACTCCATATCGGAATGTATCTAGAGCAGGAAGAAAATGATTGCAAGCATATGTTACTGGAATGTGGAAATTTGTTTAATGATAATATTGGAACTTTATCATATGGTTATATTCTATACAGCTTTCAGACCTACGTAAGATTTAATCCAGCAGCCAATAACACCTTGCTGTATTGTAGCCTACCTTCCGCATTCGTAAAAACGTGCAGGGGAGGTCATAAATTCCTAACATTTTAGTAGGACCGAGATATAAAATTTTTAAATTAAGGTGATCAAGAAATTGTTTCATTCACAGTGAAGTAATGTGTCTTATTAAATATATAAGAAAAATCAATATTTGAAGCCTAGAGGGAAACATAAATAGGTATTTTATTATAACAGTTATAATATACGTATAGATATACAGCATTACAATTAGTTGCCATGCATTAATATTTATTAATCATGTATTGCCCGTGAGATGAAACATGGCCGTAAATAGAATAAGATTGCTAAACATAGGCTGAGACCATCACACGACAATATGAAATGCTGACTGTCGTCACTTTATAACATCAATAGAACAAGTACCGCTGATCGTATTCTTAAATGCATTTAAGAATGACGAATTATTCAGTTTCAATATAAAAGCAGATCCCAGTATGTTCGAATTTCCACAGATTCATTGTGGAAACTGAACTCAAATATCAGTAGGAAGTGTTCCCGTATTCTTCTCTGCATTGTCACTTCCACTTAAGCATGTGCAGTATGAAATGGGCAATGTTCATTCAGCTCAAAACCACTGTTCATCCTATCGCTATCCCATAAGGAACTCGTTTGTTTCTCGATGTAATCCGTTTCCTTTATGAAGCTGCGAATCTTTGGGAGACAAAGCCGACTCATCAGCGGACGATGTCGACGAGCCAGTGCTTTGTGCGACATCAGAAGTGGAAGTGGCCAAAAGATCAAATTCGCTTTCTGCTTGCCTCGCCGGCTCGTGGTCGTGAGGTGGTGTTTCTGGTTGAGATCGCTGAAAGACGACCCTGGAGTAGCCGGCACCAGTCGCTGCCGCCAGCGTTGACGGTAAGAAATCGCTGCGTTGTTTGGAAGGAGTGTCATCGGATGGGACGTCTGTGTCGGATCTGGAAGTGTCAGGAAACGGGCCGCTGTGGGAAGTGGGATATATGTGATGTGAGTAAGGTCCAGTTTGTTCGGATTGATATGAAGCGTATTCAAGTGAAGTTCCATCTAGCTGAGACTGAATGTTATGTTGTTGAGGGAGCGAATATGTACTTTGTCTTGCAGACGTGTCTGCGGCAGGTGTCAGTGCGGCGTGGTTGTAAAACTGATTCTGATATTCTGTTTGGAACCCTGAATTTGCATAGTTGGTTTCGGATGACACAGCAGCGTATGGTGAAGTCGGTTGGCCGTATGAATTTATAGGACTACGTGGCTCCTGAATAGAACTTGGGTATGAAACCATGGGTGAATGAAACGAATTAAAAGGTTCTTGTGACAGGGAATGTGATGGCTGAAATGAGGTTGCATCTTGCGAAGGTCCATATGTTAGGGATACTGGGACTGAGATGCCATAAGTCGAAGCTGTATTTAAAGCAGGATATACGGGCTCTCCTTGCTGATGCTGGGGGACCTCGTATATCGGTACCGCGTCCTGTGGAGGTGGTCCATATGTGTTATCTGGCACTGTAGAGGGCCCTGGCTTGGAATACTTCAAAACATAGGGACGCCCCACTCCGGTTTCTTGGAATTTGTAATTGGATGGTATTGAGATGGGAGGAAGGTTTGGTAGGTCTAATAAATTTGCTACACCAGCTTCTGGAGCAGTACCTAGAAAAGAATTCGGAATGTGGTTAAGAATATATCCATCATTTCCCCGAATAGGCTTCCCTTTTTCTATTTGATCACCTTTTCTAGATGCTTCCGCGTTTTTGCTGTCGCCAGATTTGCTGAATAAAGAATGTCCAAACTTTGTTTCCTTGAATTCAGCTACGCCTTTCAATCCTGGAATTTTACTTAATAATCCCCATTTTAAACTAGAATGTTTAAGATCACCACCTGATTTTAGTTTTGAAATAAGATTATACTTCAATTTGAGAGGCGCGGTTAAAACATCATATTTCGAAGGGAGAGAGCTCCTAATGTTCTCAATAGCTTTACCTAGCGTCTTCAGTTTTGAAATAATGTGTTTCTTTGCAGAGAAAGGTGCAACAAGAATGCCATATTTGATACGTTTTACGCCTGTATTGAATTTTATTAACTTTATTGCCACATGTTTACCCAATACCTTCAGTGGGATGTAACTTTTAAGAATTCCAAGTTTAATTAATTTTGAAAGAATGTGACCCTTTAATCCAATTGACTTGCCTAAAACACTTAATTTCAAGGGAATTCCAATTTTTGAAAACTTTTTAAATTTTGAAAAGAAGTGTTTCTTAACTTTGAATGGTATAGAGAATATTGCAGCCTTCAGTGGCGAATGCTTTTTCCCAAATACCAATTTTTTCACAAGGTGTAGTTTAAGTGGAAAATGTCCTTTTATGATGCGGTGCTTACCTAGTTTCCCTAAATCTGAAACAGCTTTCAATAACGCAGGTTTACTTGCAGCGACTACTTTCCATGGTAATTTATTTGTTATAACTTTAAGCTTTCCCAGTTTTCCTATATTTGAAATGGCATGTCCCTTCAGTGCTGTATTGAATTTAAAAAGCGGATGGCTGTTTATAACCCCAAGTTTACCTAATTTTCCTGACTTTGATAGAAACTTACCTAGCACGACATGTTTGGTAACTTTCCCTTTTATTCCGATGTCGCTTTTAGCTGCATTTCCACTAAATTTAGCAACAGTGTTGTACTGTGAAGCGAAATTGCTAATGTCCTTTGTTGTAGACAGTGGATAAACAATGTTAGATTCCAGAAACCTAGGGAACGCACCTTTAGGTTTCGAAGGGCTGTTG